AAGCTATCTTTATCATATTTTATATTTTTATCTTTGTTTAAATTACAGAATGATGAGGTATGATTTAGAGTGAAAACCTGTTTGTCTTGGGTTTTATTTATAGACTAGCTGTTACTTTTTTGTAATGGACTTTTTAATATGTTTCTAAAAACAATGAAGTGGGTGTCTGTTTATGGCTTTTTGGCAAGGCTAACAAGGCGTCTTAGTTTTTTGGATAATAGTGTAATTATAAAACTTTTTTGATTATTTTCTATATCTTCACCTGATTGGAAGGGAAAACACCTTGTTCCAGTATTTAATGGTATTAATGGGAGTGTAACTGCTACTTGTTGATATTTTTTACTTATCCCTTCAACCTGAAGGAAGGGAAAACACCTTGTTTCTAGTATATTAATGATATCATGGGAGTGTAATGTTACCAATCGTCTATATTTTCTATATCTTCCACTGAGGAAAGGGGGGAAATGCCTTGTTCCTAGCTATAGGATTGGAGTGTGAATTGTTAATGTTGATAATATTTCTATATCCTCACTGTGCGAAGGGCAAAACACCTTGTTCCAGTATTAAATTTTATAATGGGAGTGTAATGGTTACATGTTGATATTTTCTATATCTTCACTGTGGAATACAAATGTCCTTTGTGATGGAGTGTAAATTATTACTTGTTGATATTTTCTATATCCTCACTGTGGAAAGGGCAAACACCTTGTTCAGTAAATTTAAATTTTATAATGGGAGTGTAAATTGTTACATGTTTGATATTTTCTAAATCTTCACTGTGGAATGAAAATGACCCTTGTGATGGAGTGTAATTAATGTTGATATTTTCTATATCCTCACTGTGGAAGGGCAAACACCCTTGTTTCCTGTATTTTAAATTTTATAATGGGAGTAGTAATGGGTACATATTTTCTATTTTTCTTCACTGAGGAAGGGCAAACACCTTGGATCCAGTATTTAATGGTATAATGGGAGTGTAATGACATGTTGATATTTTCCTATATCTTATTATACCCCCACAAACGAAGTTTAGGGGGGTTATATAGGAGTCAGCTTGTCGGTCCGGTCGGTCCGTCGGTCGGTCCACATCATGGTTTCCGGACAATAACTAGAGTTTGGAATGAGGTATTGTAATCAAACTTGGTATATAGCAACCTTATGTGAAAAGTCCGGTTGGTATTGCATTTGGACCCCCTGGGGTCAAGGTCAAGGTCACCGTTACTAAAAAATAGAAAAAAATGGTTTCCGGACAATAACTAGAGTTAGGAATGAGATATTGTTATCAAACTTGGCGTATATTAGCAAGCTTATATGAAGACCTGGGTTTGTATTGCATTTGGGCCCTCTGGGGTCAAGGTCAAGGTCACTGTTACTAAAAATAGAAAAATGGTTTCCGGACAATAACTTGACTTAGGAAATGACATACTGTAATCAAACTTGGTGTATAGCAAGCTTATATGAAGATCTGGGTTGGTATTGCATTTGGACCCCCTGGGGTCAAGGTCAAGGGTCACCGTTAGGAAAAATAGACAAATGTTTCCGGACAATAACTAGAGTTAGGAATGAGATATTGTAATCTAATTTGGTGTAAAGGAAGCTTATATGAAGACCTGGGTTGGTATTGCATTTGGACCCCCTAGGGTCAAGGTCACCGTTACAGTGTTACTAAAAAATAGAAAAATGGTTTCCGGACAATAACAAGAGTTAGGAATGAGATATTGTTATCAAACTTGGCGTATAGCAAGCCTATATGAAGACTTTAGTTGGTATTGCATTTGGGCCCCCTGGGGTCAAGGTCAAGGTCACCGTTACGAAAAATGGTTTTTGGACAATAACTAGAGTTAGGAATGAGATATTGTAATCTTATTTGGTGTATAGGAAGCTTATATGAAGACCTGGGTTGGTATTGCATTTGGACCCCCTAGGGTCAAGGTCACTGTTACAGTGTTACTAAAATAGAAAAAATGGTTTCCTGACAATAACAAGAGTTTGGAATGAGATGTTGTAATCAAACTTGGTGTATAGCAAGCTTATTTCGAGACCCCAGTTGCGATTACAATTAATTATTTCTTTGTACACAGTTGATAGTTTGTGTTCAAATTTTTCTTCAGACTACTTTTTTTTCAAAAAGTTGTTGGTGGGGGTATTAATCACCTTCAGTGATAGGTCTAGTTTGAGGAAGGGCAAACACCTTGTTCTAGTATATAATGGTATAATGGGAGTGTGATTGTTAGTTGTTGATATTTTCTATATCTTCACTGTGGAAGGGCAAACACCTTGTTCTAGTATAGGTAGGAGTGTGATTATTAGTTGTTGATATTCCCTATATCTTCACATTGGAAAGGTGAACACCAAACCAAGCTTTAATGTCTCTTTAATGTTGTAGGATTCATTGTCAGTAATAATGTATTTATGCATTCTGATTTTGTAGTTAATAGATTCAAGACAGAGTCATTGTATTTTACAAACACATGTTGGTGAGATAAATTTTAAAGAACATAGTTCTAACAGGGTTTTAAAAGTGTTAACTTTAAACATAAAATATTTCATTGTATTTGCTCATAGATAAGACATAAAATATTTTATTGTATTTGCTCATAGATAAAACATAAAATATTTTATTGTATTTGCTCATAGATAAACATAAAATATTTTATTGTATTTGCTCATAGATAAAACATAAAATATTTTATTGTATTTGCTCATAGATAAAACATAAACTATTTTATTGTATTTGCTCATAGATAAAACATAAACTATTTTATTGTATTTGCTCATAGATAAGACATAAAATGTTTTATTGTATTTGCTCATAGATAAGACATAAATATTTTATTGTATTTGCTCATAGATAAAACATGAAATATTTTATTGTATTTGCTCATAGATAAAACATAAAATAATTTATTGTATTTGCTCATAGATAAGACATAAAATGTTATATTGTATTTGCTCATAGATAAGACATAAAACATTTTATTGTATTTGCTCATAGATAAAACATAAAATATTTTATTGTATTTGCTCATAGATAAGACATAAAATGTTTTATTGTATTTGCTCATAGATAAAACATAAAATATTTTATTGTATTTGCTCATAGATAAGACATAAAATATTTTATTGTATTTGCTCATAGATAAAACATAAAATATTTTATTGTATTTGCTCATAGATAAGACATAAAATATTTTATTGTATTTGCTCATAGATAAGACATAAGATATTTTATTGTATTTGCACATAGATAAGACATAAAATATTTTATTGTATTTGCACATAGATAAGACCGTCTTATGAGGAAGCCCATATTTCACGACCAGGTCATGTCCTAATACAAGGTCAGGTTGCCGGGGCAACAACACGACCTCAGATTGACCTTGCTGTCTTCCCATGGTATGTCAGGACAGCATGTTAGCCCCAAAAAAAAGAGAGGAAAAAAAACACTAAATGTTGTGCCCTTGTTGTTCTGCATGTTTGATTGTTAACATGTGTTGTATTTTAATTTTAACATGAATTATAGAACTGAGGTTAACATGAATTATAGAATTGATGCCACATATATCAGCATGAATTGTCCCACAACAACTAGTTTGGTAGGATTGATGCTGATTTAAGAAACTAAATGAATAGAAAACTAAGAATAGAAGTATTTTAGTAACTCTTGGCAAAACATAGATGACTGATTTTCACAATCTGATAACATGTGACCTACAGATTCTAGTCACACTAGCTCATGACCTGCTGGAAATGAAAGTTATTTGTCTTTACCACCAGTGCAGAGCCAGGCCGGCTCGCTCATTTGTGCAGTCTGACCAGGCTCTATACTGTTGGTAGCTCAAGGTTTTATATTTTGATTATGAAATCTACTTGAATTGAACTGTTCCTATATCAAGGTTGGGCAAACTTATAACATGCTCATCAGGTGAAAGGCTTAAGAAACAATGTGCCGGGAAAATATGTATTTTAATGTCATTTCTTGTAATATAACTGAACTTTTTTATTTGATTCTTAGTTGTTAATGGTTAAAATATTATGTATTGATAAGTTTATAAAATAATGAAATATGTGGACAGAAATAATTTTATATAGTTGTATACACAGTGTGATTTAGTAGTTATTTATTGAAACATTTTATAAAGTGAATGTAAATGTTTTACTTTTAATCTTTTGTTATGGCATTGATTTTTCTGGCTTGTATTAGAGATGTAGTAAAATTCACTCTGACATTTTTCCCTCTGACATTTTTTCCTCTCTTTTAGTCTTATTTCACTTGCATACATTTTGCATGTGAACATTTTGACAAAATGTGCATTTTGCCCTGTAATGTTGGTTTAAATGATATATGTAAAGAGTTTGCAATTGTTTTAAGAAGAAAATGCTGGTATAGATTCAAGGAAAGCAGTTTGGTATCTGCACTGGTGGTTAAGATTCCAGGACAACATGTTTCGTTTCTGCCCTACATTACATTTATAAGGGGTTTACCAATGTATCTATGGAAGTATTACATTTAGAAGGGGTTTACCAATTTATCTATGGAAGTGTTACATTTATAAGGGGTTTAGTAATGTATCTATGGAAGTGTTACATATATAAGGGGTTGAGTAATGTATCTATGGAAATATTACATTTATAAGGGGTTTAGTAATGTATCTATGGAAGTATTACATTCAGAAGGGGTTTACCGATATATCTATGGAAGTGTTACATATATAAGGGGTTTAGTAATGTATCTATGGAAATATTACATTTATAAGGGGTTTACCAATTTATCTATGGAAGTGTTACATTTATTAGGGGTTTAGTAATGTATCTATTGAAGTATTACATTCAGAAGGGGTTTACCAATGTTTCTATGGAAGTGTTACATATATAAGGGGTTTAGTAATGTATATATGGAAATATCACATTTTAAGGGGTTGACCAATGTATATAATTATGGAAGTATTACATTTATAAGGGGTTTACCAATGTATATATGGAAGTATTACATTTATAAGGGATTTATCATTGTATCTATGGAAGTATTACATTTATAAGATGTTTACCAATGTATCTATGGAAGTATTACATTTATAAGGGGTTTACCAATGTATATATGGAAGTATTACATTTATAAGGGGTTTACCAATGTATCTATGGAAGTATAACATTTATAAGGGGTTTACCAATGTATATATGGAAGTATTACATTTATAAGGGGTTTACCAATGTATATATGGAAGTATTACATTTATAAGGGGTTTACCAATGTATCTATGGAAATATTACATTTATAAGGGGTTTACCAATGTATCTATGGAATTATTACATTTATAAGGCATTTATCAATGTATCTATGGAAGGAGTACATATATTACATGTTTATAAGTGTATCTATGGAAGTATTACATTTATAATATATTTATAAGTGTATCTATGGAAGTATTACATTTATAACATGTTTATAAGTGTATCTATGGAAGGAGTGTACTTACAAAAGGTTTATCAGTGTATCTTTGGAAATATATTACTTACAATAAATTTATTGGTGTATATTTGGAAGGATTGTATTGACATTTTTCTGTATTTAAAAATAAAGTATTATGGAAGTATTGTAAATATATGTACATTGAAATTTTATATTTATGAGTGTTAGATATAAATACATACTTTCAATACATACAATCTTGTACATGGGAATGTGATAAAACATGAAAACTTTCATCACTCTTGCATGTAGTTTAGTGAAATACCATATTGGTTCTAAAAGTGCTCAGAAACAGATTCCGTCCTTTATTTAACCATTATCCTGCTGGATTCTGAGGTAATTAACCTTTGTCACCGGGTATAGAACCTTTTTTGGCATATCTGTGCAAATTGACCAGGCTTTATACTTTTAGTAGTTTGATAATGAATTCCCTCAAACTTCAAATAGACTTTACAGATTCAGAAAAAAGCTAATCCAGTACACAAGTTCACCAGGTTAATGGATAAAATAACCAAAATATTGGGAATTTGACTTGAATGGGCTGGTCCAGCTTCAATTTTTGAACCATTATCAGTTTTTTGAACAATTAATTTGCAAGCTGGTCGCCCGTACTGTAGAGCCTGGTTGGAATGGATGTAACAGAGCCAGTAACAGGGTTTTATAATCTATGACTTGGGGGGGGGGGGGGGGGGGTAGGCATTTGTTATGAAATGTGACCAGGGGGCACTTTGTAGAACCAATATAGTGATTTTTGTACTGTGTTAACTTGCATGGTTATTGTAATCTCTATTCAGCCCCGCGGCGTGCCCCTTCCTATCTAGACTGGGAATTTTCTGGCAGACACCGTACCTCTCAGATACCTTCACCGTGTAAACCAGTTGGCTATGTAAATGTTCCAGACGGGCATGATTATAGTCAATATGAATGGTGAGTAAATCGCAGACCGGAGATAATGGGAACACACTGACCAGTTGTTTTTATCAGAACATTTGACAGTGCAGGGGAAAAAACTTTTTTATAGTAAAAAAAAGTATTCAAAAAAAGTATTCTTCAATGACTTCTTTGGGATATCCTAACTCAAATTGTTTGGATGTTTTGGTAGAAGGGGGTGGGGGGGGGGGGGAGTGTCCATCATTTTCATGATTTATTATTTTTAAAATTTAATGATTTTCCAAATATTAAATGGATCAATACATTTTGTTTACAGTGTAACTTCTGAATTCCGGAAGTTCTAAAATCGGGAAACTTCTGAAATCCAAACATTTTTCAGGGTCCCAAAATTCTTTTGTTTTCTATGTAATGAATACTTCTGAATTCCAGAACTTCTAAATTCTGAATTCCGAACGATTTTCTTGTTAAATTTTGGTTATATCAATTCAAATTTACTTCCAAAATCCATAGAATCACAACCCCTGTCAACCAATTGTCAAACACTTGATTACATTGTGAATATTAAAAATGAGAAGTATAACATGGTGAAAAATAAAAATTACAGGTAAATAGCTGGTACAACATGAAATTTACTAAATAATTATACATTATGCTTTTGTTTAAACAAATTCAGTTATAGGTGATAAAGAAATTTAATATGCATATTAAGTTATAAACTTTTTAAAAGTCATATAATTTTGCCATTTTATAAATATATTTAGTTTCATATTTTTTTCACCATGTCTTACATAAACAATTGATGTTTAATGTTTCTACTTTTTCTTTCTACTATGTCTCAGATAATTCCAAACTTCTGAATTCCGGAAACTTCCAAATTTCGAACTTTTTGGCTAGTCCCACAGGTGTTCGGCTTTCCGAAGTTACACTGTATATTTTAACATAGAGTTAACTCGGGGCTATACGTATATAGGAAAGTGAAAATAGAAGAAGAAAAAAAACAACAACTGCAAACTGGTTTATATAGTGATTCTGTTGCTATGACAACTGGAATGTATCCAATGAATGATTGTTTTCATCTTGAATGACTTCTTTATGTACATGATTATTATCATTGAACTTCATCTTGTAAAACACTGAAAACTTCCACCTCTCCTATGCATGACTCTGGCTAGTTAGTGTTCTAACTAAAACAGTTATCTCTCTAATGAAAAAACAACTTAGGTGCAGAATATGGGTTGGTCATATATGGTTGGTCATAATTATGATCAGTGTCCTATATGGGCTGTCATATATGGTTGGTGTCATATATGGTTGGTCATCAATAATCAGTGTCATAATCAGTGTCATATATGATTGGTCAACTATAATCAGTGTCTTATTTGGTTGGTCATATATGATCATTGTCATACATTCACAGTCATATATGATCAGCCATATTTTGTCAACCATATATCTACACTGAGGGAAATATTATGACTGATGGTTTCTTAGAGAGTTTTACTTTGATTTAACATAGTACAACAAACAGTCAAAGCGAGCCCGACGACCGGCCATGCCAGATTCAGGATTACATACCAGTTGTTATACAACGTGGGACAAATAATAAAGTCAAATTTGGTTCTGTAAAACACAACTTTGAGTAAAGACATAAATAGGTCAGATTGTTTAGAACAAATGGATTGGTAAGTTTGAAAATAAACGTTCAAAATGAAAAAAAAAATAATCCTGTTTTACAAAAAAAAAAAAAAAAAAAAAAAGTTTGTTTCTGTTTAGTTGTTCTAGTTGTTGTTTAATATTTGTGATGTTGTGATAATTACAGTGCATGCTAGAATGTTTAATCCTAAAAAAAAACCAATTGATTTATTAAATTTGTTCAGTGATTTCCATTCTTTAAAGTAATAACTTTACCATAGTTTGTCTCTTCTGATTTTATATAAATTTCTAATAAGCATTTATTAGTCCCCTACCGGTTTAACCGGAGGGGACTTTAGGTTTACCCTCCGTCCGTCTGTCCGTCTGTCTGTCTGTCTGTCCGTCTGTCCGTCTGTCTGTCTGTCAGTCTGTCAGTCCGTCAGTCCGTCCGTCCACAAAACTGGATCCCGCGATAACGCAAAAAGTACTGAAAATATTTTTATGAAACTTGATATATGGATAGATGGCAGTATGGAGATTATGCACGTCTTTTTTTTTTCTTCCTATGTTGAAAATTCTGGTTGCTATGGCAACAAATAGTCTGAAAATATGGCAAATTTAACACATAAACTGGATCCAGTGATAACTCAAAAAGTACTGAAAAATTTTTTATGAAACTTGAAATATGGGTAGATGGCAGTCTGGAGATTATGCACATCTTTTTTCTTTTCTTCCTATGTTGAAAATTCTGGTTTGCTATGGCAACAAATAGCCTGAATTTCAAGATTTTCTGATTTAAATTTTTCAGCTTTTTCACTATATGTTCTTTATTTCTTAAGGTGTTTACTTCAAACTTTAAATATAAGTTTCTGGTCATCAACCACATCATATGTGACAAGTTTATAACTCTAGCACAAAAAAATATCAGTATTACCTCCCTTGAACTTAGAGATTTTTTAGGGAAAAAAATGTTGTCTTTTTTTAAATAACTTCTTTTATTTCCTAATGTATCTACTTCAAACTTCATATATATGTTTCTTATTATCACTCCGACATTTTTGAGAAGGTTAAATACTCTAGCAAGACTATTTCCAGAATTATGTCCCCCTTGAACTTAGATTTTTTTCGAGAAACTGGTATTTTCACTCCAACTTCTTCATTCCTTATAGGATTTACTTTAAAATCCCACATCGTAATAATATGACAAGGTTGTATAACATAATTTCCTTACTAAGCATGGAAACTTAACACATTACTGTGATATAGACAAACTTATTTTATTATGTTTTGTGGTTGATATTTTCAAATACAGACTTCATCCTCAAATTCATTATAAATGGCAATACACAGGAGTGTATGACAATTAAAGAACTTTTTGAGGGACCGGTAGGGGACTACTGTATTGCCCGCAATACTATCAAATGCTTGTTTAACTAAGATCAAAAAAGTCATGATTATCTAACAGCTTTAGATATAAATATCAGATATAGAAACAACAAAGTAAATGAGATTTGTATGACACTGTTGATTATCATTTTATAAATGCAGCTGAATCTCCAGAAATTTAAATCAATGCAGCGCAATGCCTAGACATTTAAACTAATGTAAGATTGAATAAAACTGAAGCAGTATTAAGTGCCGTCATTGGTTGTGGAAGTAAATCTTTAATTTGAACAATTTGTATTAACTTTTTGTTTGAATAATTGTATTTGCATTCAACAAAGTGGTTAACATGACAGACTTTGAAATTTCTTGCCCATCACCATTGACGGTATTAAATCTGCCAGGGACTTGGAGTCCATTCATATGAGGAATCTTATGATCTGGCTTGCTGATGTAAAATTGATGGTCCAACTTGGTCTGTGTTGAAGACAAAATGTAATTTGATGTTAGATGCTCTAGTTTAAGATCAAGTTATAATAGATATATTGTATTATAGGTACGTAGGTCCTTTAGCACGTGATCAAGCTGGTGAAAGGATGAAAAAATTGCCTGATGGTACATACTTAGTTAGAGATAGTGAAAACCCCCAGCGTAAAGGCAATCCTGCTCTCAGTATAAAGTAAGTATTGATTAGCTAAAATTTGATTGGTTCTTAAGTTGGGATAAGTGCTATATTGTGTTAAAGTGACCAATGAAAAAGAAGCTAGCATAATTTGGCACACATTTCCCACAATAACCACTTGCATGGGCAAATGAGAGCACAATCAGATATATTTGGGTGGTGCTCTAACTTTTGATGAAGAAGAAGTAGTCCAAGGTTACCAGACCGATCAAAAATGTTTTTAAATCTGTCCGTACTCTGATGATGTACAGGTTAGCCAGTCTTTAAACAGGATGACCTGTCTGTATAGATAGGCAAGCTATTTTATCATGGATGATTTTCAAATATTTAAAATGTAAAATAAACCATTCTTAAAAAACACTTTAAATTGTAGTTGTAATACCCAATTCTATATAGGAAAAATGATTTCTACATTTATTTAGTCCTATATGTTACATTAAAGGACTATTTGTTGAATATATTAACATATTTTTTTACATTTCTCCCTTCAGGTTTTCAGGAACAGTTCGACACATAAAGATAGAAAAGAATTCAGAGAATATGTATTATATGGCTGACACCAGGTTCTTTCATTCATTGCCAGTAAGTGTAACATTTTGCTTCAGTCAGTGTAACATTCATTACATGTCATTGTAACATTCATTCCATGTCAGTGTAACATTCATTATATGTCAGTGTAACATTCATTACATGTCAGTGTAACATTCATTACATGTCAGTGTAACATTCATTACATGTCAGTGTAACATTCATTACATGTCAGGGTAACATTCATATCATGTATGTGTAACATTCATTTTATGTCAGTGTAACATTCATTACATGTCAGTGTAATATTCAATACATGTCAGTGTAACATTCATATCATGTATGTGTAACATTCATTTTATGTCAGTGTAACATTCATTACATGTCAGTGTAACATTCATTACATGTCAGTGTAACATTCATTCCATGTATGTGTAACATTCATTACTTGTTAGTGTAACATTCATTACATGTCAGTGTAACATTCATTACATGTCAGTGTAACATTCATTCCATGTATGTGTAACATTCATTACTTGTTAGTGTAACATTCATTACATGTCATTGTAACATTCATTACATGTCCGTGTAACATTCATTCCTTGTCAGTGTAATATTTACATTCTTTAGCAGTCTGATACACTTAAATTATACAACATGTAATGGGTTTTGGAAATATCAGTAATGGTTTTTGTACTGTTCTGTTTTCTTTGTCTCTTGTTGACAACTCTAGCTTTGTCAAAATATTATATTAGTTAGAGATTTCATACTTTGACATGCTATCGTTATATAAGATAAAGCCACTGTTACTTGGCCGTTACATAATTGTATAAGCTAGAACATCTTAACATTGTTATAGCATCAAACAATATAAAACAATATTGAAGAGTTGAATTCAAATTTTTTGTTGTAAATGTTTCAGGAGTTAATAGAGTTTTACCAGAGAAGAATTCATTATCAGACAGTTTTCCTGAAGTTCAGACTAATCTTCTATATCCATATAAATCTGTCGCTTCCAAATCCACAAGGTAAGCTATCTGGCTGTATAAAATCTATTGCTTACTATAGTGAAGGTAGGAGTGTCTTTTGGCTTCAAACCACTTGCCTTCACCTTTATTGGTTTAATCCCACTAGGAACTTTGCATTCTTAAATGTGAGGAATAAATCAGGCTATCTTAAAAACATCACTGGTTTCTACTCAAGTGCCTGCTTGTGCCTGAAATAAAGCATGGTGGGAACACTAAGGACTGAACACTAAGGACTTCCTTCAGCAGAAAAGCTGACCTCAACATTGTCTGTTTGACTGTTAAGTATAAGTCAAAAAGGTGATAATTTTATAAATCTGTGTGTAATTCTCACAGAGTTCCAACAGTTTACTTATTTAAATAACTGACATGTTTTCTTTGTGCTAGTGCATGTTTATTTTATTTTTGTTTATTAGTTTGTGTGTTATTAACATGTTACACTTGCTGCTAGTGCATGGTCAAAATTATTATGTTACTTGTTTTCACTGCAATAATACCATTTACATTTTTCTTTAAATTATATACATTTAATATGAAATACATGATGTCACCAACTAATTATACTTAAAAGAGACTTTTTTACTGACCTTAATGTCTGTGTTACTGACCTAAATGTCTGTGTTACTGACCTTAATGTCTGTGTTACTGGCCTAAATGTCTGTGTTACTGACCTTAATGTCTGTGTTACTGGCCTAAATGTCTGTGTTACTGACCTAAATGTCTATGTTACTGGCCTAAATGTCTGTGTTACTGGCCTAAATGTCTGTGTTACTGGCCTAAATGTCTGTGTTACTGGCCTAAATGTCTGTGTTACTACCTTGAATATCTGTGTTACTGACCTAAATGACAGTGTTTACTGGCCTAAATGTCTGTGTTACTGGCCTAAATGTCTGTGTTACTGGCCTAAATATATATGTTACTTACCTAAATGACTTTTTTACTGACCTTAATGTCTGTGTTACTGACCTAAATGTCTGTGTTACTACCTTGAATATCTGTGTTACTGACCTAAATGACAGTGTTACTTGCCCTAATGTCTGTGTTACTGACCTAAAAATCTGTGTTACTGACTTAAATGTCTATGTTAATGGCCTAAATGTCTATGTTACTGACCTTAATGTCTGTGTTACTGGCCTAAATGTCTGTGTTACTGACCAAATGACAGTGTTACTTGCCCTAATGTCTGTGCTACTGACCTAAAAATCTGTGTTACTGACTTAAATGTCTATGTTTATGGCCTAAATGTCTATGTTACTGACCTTAATGTCTGTGTTACTGACCCTAATGTCTGTGTTACTGCCCTAAATGTCTGTGTTACTGCCCTAAATGTCTGTGTTACTGCCCTAAATGTCTGTGTTACTGCCCTAAATGTCTGTGTTACTGCCCTAAATGTCTGTGTTACTGGCTATCAAGTTACCTTGACTATCAAGGTCAAATTATCGAAATTTGCAGAAAGTGTTTTTACTTTATTATTTACTTAGAGATTTGATTCATTCTTGGACGAAAGAGCATTTATGGCAAAACTGACATGATGATAAATTCAAATGTGACTTTGACCTTTGACTTACCTTGACTGTCAAGATCAAATCTGAAATTTTTAATTTAATTTGTTTTAAAAAAAAAAAATGTTTTTGTAGTATAATATTCTTCCTTTGATGTGTTTGACTTTAGAAACTAGAAATTGTGTGTGGTCCCTGCTAGGCAGTTGCTTTTGTTATATTATGCATGCTACTGTAGATGTGTTATTATTTTTTTATCCCATATAACCCATACTAGTCAGCTAACTGTTCTATTTTTAGCTAACTGTTCTATTTTTAGCCACCAATGGCATAACATCACCACTCAGAGTTGCACTCCCACCAAAGCCTGAGAATTCTACTGCGGGTATGCACTTACTTCAGTTCTATAATTTGATATTTATTATTTATTTATTGTTATTTTTTTTCATTCTTTAAATATTAAGCCACTCTGAGCACAATGTTCTGAAAAAAGAATTGTTCAGTTTTGTTTCTTGTTGAAATGTTTAATCATAAAACTGACCCTTTGCTCTAGCATTTGAAAGAGAATTCATTTTATTTTGCTTTTTTATGCCTAAAGGAAAGTTTTATGTTATATATCTGGTCATCAGAATGTCTGTGTTTCTATTAGTAATTATTTAATACTTATTGTATATGATATTGATTTTTGCACACATGTACATCATAGTACCGGTAACATAGAAAATGTTAAAAGTTTGTTAAAGGTATGCAAACTTCAGTCATAAATCTTTCATATATACAGTTTTAACTTTCATATATACACCTGAAAAAAAGGTAAGCACATCCGGCAATTTGCCTCAATTTTGACATGACCACAACTGAAATTTTAGATTTTATTTGGGCCATTGTACAAACCACCTGTAGTCAACCTGTAAACTGGAACAAGCTATGCACCAGGAATGTCAAAATTTACCTCAAAATCACACAGCTACCTGGTAGTATGAGGAAAAGGGTTAAGGCTGTCATCCTGGCAAGTGGTGGTTACGCATGTTATTAAAAATTTGGCTACATAATGTCATTTTAGGTTATGTAATCGGCAACATTTACCAAAAATATCCACCAGTAAATGTTTTGTAAATGCTCCAAAGCCATACTTATAATCACTTACATTTTTGGTAAAAAACAACACATTTGCTAATGCTTCAATAAATTGGTTAAGAAATAACTAAATTCTTAAATTTACTGGTTTATGATTACTAAATTGGTATTGCTACTTATGTAATCATATAACTATTTCTTAAATCATGACAGTGCTTTCAATCACAACCAATTTTAGATTTTTCCAGGGTGTGCTTAACTTATTTCCAGGTGTATTTCTTGGATGTCTTCAGTTTGCAGTATGTGTGTTGTCTTGCTAAAGCTAGATATCTTTAAGAAAAACAAAAATCAAAATTTGTATTATTTCTGACAATACAAGAAAATACATTATTTTTAGTTTGACTCTTTGAGGAATAATTGGGCAAATCCTACTAATTCAGGTGATGGTGTAAGCATTGATGTAACACTAGACAAAGTTTTCATTTTTGACAGAAATTATGGCTCTTTGTGAATTACCGGTTAAAGTTTTGCATGAAGCAGGAATCTTCAAAACAACTTTGGCTTGAATAATAAAAATTGCCTTTTGTGGTAATTGAGCCAGTCAGATTACCTCTCAATGGAATTTTTTACTTTTTATAAAAAACAAGAAGTAAATATATTGTGTATTCATCTGTCAGACTGTGGGTCAAAATTTAAAATAAACCTTGTATAATGAAGCCTTATTAATTCTTTATATTTATCAGGTTTTGAATTGTACCAGGAACATTAAATTATTATGTTAGGGAGTTATGTAGAAGGTATATGGTAAAAAAGATAGAAAAAAAGCACAACAGGAGGACTAAGTCAACAGAATAAGTCAACTTTTATAACGTAAATGTGACCTATTACATTTTTGTCTCAGTTTTAATTAGAAACAAGAACTTTGTGACAATTATTATAAGGTGATATAAATTTGAGACAAATATTATTTTTTACAGGTCAGCATATATTGAGTTATTATTGTTTGCAGGTCAGCGTATAATGAGTTATTGTTTACAGGTCTGCGTATAATGAGTTATTGTTTACAGGTCACCGTATATCGAGTTATTATTGTTTACAGGTCACCGTATATCGAGTTATTGTTTACAGGTCGGCATATATTGTGTAATTGGTTACAGGTCAGCATATATTGAGTTATTATTGTTTACAGGTCAGCATATATTGAGTTATTATTGTTTACAGGTCGGCGTATATTGTATTATTGGTAACAAGTCAGCGTATATTGAGTTATTATTGTTTACAGGTCAGCATATATCGAGTTATTATTGTTTACAGGTCAGCATATATTGAGTTATTATTGTTTACAGGTCGGCGTATATTGTATTATTGGTAACAAGTCAGCATATATTGAGTTATTATTGTTTACAGGTCAGCATATATCAAGTTATTATTGTTTACAGGTCAGCGTATATTGAGTTATTATTGTTTACAGGTCGGCGTATATTGTATTATTGGTAACAAGTCAGCGTATATTGAGTTATTATTGTTTACAGGTCAGCATATATTGAGTTATTGTTTACAGGTCGGTGTATATTGTGTTATAATTTTTTTGTTTACAGATCAGCATATATTGAGTTATTATTGTTTACAGGTCAGCATATATTGAGTTATTGTTTACAGGTCGGCATATATTGTGTTATTGTTTACAGGTCAGCATATATTGAGTTATTTTTGTTTACAGGTCAGCGTATAATGAGTTATGCGACAGCTGTATATGACTACGCAGCGACGGCAACAAACACAGATCAACTTGAAGGCCGGAGACCGTATAGCGGTGCTCAGTAAAACAGGAAGTGATAAGGGATGGTGGAAAGGAGAACACCTGGCCACGCATAAAGTACTTTTTCTTTTCTTTTTACTGTTATAAAATTATTTTGTGATATAAATATTTAATGTTAAATTGTGAACATGTAACACACTTGTCACTTTCAGTGCTCCTTTGAAGTTGACTCAGGAGTGTAAGATTTTTGAATTTTATGTTCTAAGGCTTTTTTGATCTCATTTGAGATGCTTTAAGTTATTACACGAAAGTTTACCATTCAGTGTATCATTTAACTGTGACCTTGAAATACTCCTGCAGTTATATAGAATCATATAGAAATTAGATCTTACCAAGCAGTAGTATAGGTAAACAATCTCAGCCAATCATGGCCATCTTCTATCATAACAATAGAATATAAGTAGTGTATAAGGCCAGTAAGTGCTGTGATGTATTACATCTTTCTAATCCTTATCTATATAATGTTTAGGTCGGCTATTTCCCATTTGCCTATTTCTAATCATTATCTATCTTGTTTAGGTCGGCTATTTCCCATTTGCCTATGTGAGAGAAGAGGATGAAGAATGAAGCAACCCACCTTGATAACTCAAGTCCCTTGACAAAAACATGGAATACTTCAGAGATGATTTACCAAGTGTTATAACATTCAGAGATAATTCATTAAGTGATATAACATGACTACTTCAGAGATGGATTATCACATGTTATAACATGAATACTTTACCAAGTGTTATAACATGACTTTATCCAATTTTGCGGCCATACATTAAACTTTTATTATTCATGATAAATGTAGAACATTGTTTGACAAAGTGACTCACTAAACTCTCTGTCAATATCAACTTCATACTTGAACAAGTTTTATTATATAAATATCCAGCAGTTATATGGCTGTACACATAGATCAAAGTTTTTTATGAAAACAATGTTGCATATACTACAGTCACTACAGACAGATATTATCATAAGTATATATACTGTGCTTTCTTCATACAGTGACAAATTTTGCCTTTATAAAATATTTTTTCATTTGAAAGAGTAGCATGTTAAATAAGCTTCCACTTCAAACAAGGTGTATAGTTGTATGGACTAAGGGTTTGATTGGATTTATTATTATTATCATGTTAAAATAATAGAGATATAGAAAGAAAGTAGAGTGATTGTTTGCTTATTTAATATAAATGACACAGATAAGAAGCTAATCTGGGTTTTGTTTTGAAAATGAAGTCTGTTATGTGAATACCTCAGTTGTTTTTTCAGCTTATTCCATTTTGGCATTCTTTATTAACCCGTAACCAGCTGAATGTCTTAAATGGACTTGTCCATCTTTGAATTAGGAACAGTTCATTTAATGTGTTTAAGAGATTTCAGAATAAAAATATATAAAATCAGGGGGTTTTTTCCAGGATTTTGGGAACATGACCCATACCCATGGAATTGGTAATTTCAGCAATGTTTTGTTAAAAAAATGGGGGAAAATGCACAACTTAAATTTTGCAATCATTAATGAATGTAAAGAATCACTGTGTAGGATGACATCTTCAAATATTTAATCACCTTCACAGTGAAGAAGCCCTTATTTTCAAAGATTTTAGAATTTCTTATTCAATATTTCTGTTTTGTAACTTCAAAGTGGGAATTTTTTCCTGTGGATTGGGAAAATAATATACTTTTTTCAATTGGGAAAATGACTGAATATCGGCTATAAGATCAAACCTGAAAATCAGGGTCAGACTACATGGATGTGTGTTGTTACTGGTTGTAAAGGCACGGGTTAAGTTATGGGTGTAAAGAATGGTTTGCTTGAGCAAGTATCCTAGATATAAGTATGTTAAAGAAATCAATATTTTGTCTTTTTAAATTGAAATATCATCAGTCTGAATGGTGTTAATCATCTAATTAACACTGGTTTGGAGTTTCGATGTGTAGGGATTTGACCACAAAGGCTGGTTTATATTTTTTGCATTCAAAAGTACAAAACGATGTTTAGAAAATAGCCAATAAACACCACTCAGACATTTTATTATTTCGATTCTAACAGACAAATTTAGTGAGATCACTAATTCTATTTGTTTTTTTCAAGGGCCAAGTATTACTTCTCACTGCGATTTCCATAAACGTGATTCTTTCAGCACCCTTCTGTGTAAGTATAATATATGAGCGAGTAAGAAACATAAAAAAGAATTTCACCTTGATATTCAACGAATTTGTTCAACACAATAAGTACGCACATGGAATTGTATGGTGTTAAATACGGTGCTGCCAGACTTAACCATAACATTATGACACTGGTCATCCCATGAGAAGATTGACGCTAGAGGTTATCATTCGGTTGCTTACAAAGTAAGCAGCAGACACTTTTTTATATAAATAGCAAGTTAAATCGTGACGTTCATTGCCTGTTAGCGAGTCCTATATTAGCTTATCATCATGAACACAAGAAGAGAAGCTCATAAGAACAAAAGCATAATACTCTGCGACCTTAGTTGCGTTCGGTCTTTTTTTCTTGGAATCATCCCAGACAGTCACTTTGGATCAAGAAACATAACAGCATAAGGTTAATAGAGCTATAATTCATGTACATATGTAATATGACTATATATATTTAATTGTTACCATATGTAATATGGATCTATATATATATCGTAATGTAACACATGTATATTGGAACTATTAATACTATGTCATGTTACACCCATGTAATATTGGAACTTTACTATACTGATCATTTGTTACACAGGTAATATCGGATCTATACATCATGTTACACATGTAAATTTGGACTTATATATTCAATTGTACATTGTTACAGCATGTAATAGTTGGACTGTATATATTTCAATGTTACACACATAATATGGACACTACATATGTCATGTTACATCATGTAATTATATGGACTAATATTGTGTCCATGTGTACATGTATATATTGGACTGTAATATACAGTCATTGTTACACATGTAATATATGGATCATATATATGTCGAAATTGTTACACATTGTAATAGTTGGACTGTATATATTTCATTGTTGAGCACCATGTAATATTGGATCTATCCATATGTCATTCGTTAACAACATGTAATATTGGACTGTATATATTTCATTGTTACACATGGTATATTGGACTATACATATGTCATTGGTTACACAATGTAACTATTGGACTATATATATGTCCATGTTCCACATGTAATATTGGATTGCTGTATATTATGTCTATTGTTACACATGTAATATTGGAACTATACTCAACTATGTCGATTGACACATGTGAATAATTGGACTATATATAGTCATTGTTACACATGCTAATATTAGGACTATACAGTATGTCATTGTTACACCTGTAATATTGGACTGTATATATGGATCATTATTACACATGTAATATTGGACTTGATATTGTCAAATGTACACATAATGTATGATGGACTGTATATACTTTCATTGTTTCACATATTGGACTCTTATATATGTCCATTGGTTACGCATATGCCATTCTAGCAGGTTTATAAAAGGAGTTTAATTGAATGTACATATTCAAGTCATTAAACAATGTGGGATTTGTGTATCATATGTAATTATGCTAAAATTGTTGGCATAACAAAATTTCGTTCTTTTAAGCATTGCCAAAATCAAGTTGAAATTTATTTGTTTAGTTTGTAACAAAGGTATGTTGATGCGAAGAGCACTGTCAATGTACAGGTAGATACAGTGTGGCCATGTTTCCACGCAGGCTGAATAACTACCTGTGACATAAAGGAGAAGGAACCTCCAAAATTTTACTGAAAATATGAATAAAACGGTCATTTATTCCATACAGGATAAAAATGTAAACACATATAACATCTGTCCTATCAATTTTGTAAAACATTCATGTTACCATAGATATTCATATTTGTATTGAATAATTACTAATTGTACATAATTAATATAATAAAAAAGAATCATTATTTTGAATTTGTACTATAAATATATATATATAATATATAGATTTTGTGCATAATTTTGTTCTGATTGTCTCCCTTTTGGGCATATGCTGTGGTAATTCCTGGGCATATGCTGTGTAATCCTATGCCTAGGTTGTGCATCTCTGCGTGTGTGTAATTATTAATGTAACATGCGCCTCCTGCCAGTGTATTTGTTACGTGTAAACACAATGCCTACTGTAACACATAAATTGTAACACTTCATTTTCTTTTTTTTGTATTGAAAGTTAATGATAGGTAAAATGTGCAGTATTGAAAATTATTTCCTTCGCATTTAATGATACAAATACATATAATTTTGTAATCTGGTGACCAATCGTTCAATGTTCATCCTATAGAAAAAGAATTTAAAAGTATTACTTAGGGTCGAATTCTTCTAGATAAATATATAAAAAACTGCAAATATTTTGGGGTCTAACTACTATCATTTATAAAGTAAAGATATAGTTAGCTTATATTCGACTGTGTATCGTATTATACAAAAATTGTGTGCACAGGTTCACAAGTGGCATTTATTAGGAAATTAAAAGTGCTAGATATTTGTGATTGTTTGAAATTCAGTAATGTAAATTAATGATCAAGCTATAGATATTCGTCCAACCACTTCCAGAGCAGGCTTATATCCTAGAAACTTGTTTGTTTTTATCTCCCAGCCACCCATTACATTGGTCCAAATGATTTATGCTGAAAAGCATTTCTATTTGTCACCACCAGTATGGCGTGGAATTGTTGTCTTAAAATTGGATATAAATATATCTAATTTACCAGTTGTTCATAAAGATAGGATATTGAAATACCATCTAATTTACAGTTGTTTCATAAAACATAGGATATGAAATACTATCGTAATTTACAGTTGGTCAGAAAACATAAGGATATGAAATATATCTCAGGTTTACAGTTGTATTCATAAAACATAGGATATCGAAAATATATGCAATTTACAGTTGTTCACTAAGAATGGATATGAAATATATCTCATTACAGTTGTTCATAAAGATAGGATATGAAATATATCTAGCAATTAACAGTTGTTCCTGAAACAAATAGGATATGAAATATATCCATAAATACAGTTGTTCCACAGAAAGATAGGATATGAAATATATCTAATTACAGTTGTTCATAACATACTGGATAATAAATATCTAATTTACAGTTGTTCATAAAACATAGATATGAAATATATCTAATTTACAGTGTTCATAACATAGGATATGAAACTATTCTAATTTACAGTTGTTCAAAACATAGGATATTGAAATATAGGATATGAAATATATCTATATTATACCCCCACAACGAAGTTTAGGGGGGTAATAGGAGTCAGCTTGTCGGTCGGTCGGTCGGTTGGTCGGGTCGGTCCGTCCGTTGGTACGGTCACATCATGGTTTCCGGACGATAACTCAGAGTTTGGAATGAGGTATTGTAATCAAACTTGGTATACCTCAGCAATAAAAATAGCAACCTAAATGTGAAAAACTTTTGGTTTGGTATTGCATTTGACCCCCTGGGGTCAAGGTCAAAGGTCATGGTTACTAAAATAGAAAACGGTTTCCGGACAAATAAGCTTGAGTTAGGAAATGAGATATTAATCAAACTTGGTGTATAGCAAAGGCTTATATGAAGACCTGGGGTTGTATTGCATTTGGACCCCCTAGGGTCAAGGTCAAGGTCACCGTTACTAAAAATGAAAAATGGTTTTCTGGACAATAACTAGAGTTAGGAATGCAGATATTGTTATCAAACTTGTTGTTTAGCAAGCTTATATGGTAAGACTGGTTGCGGTATTGCATTTGACGCCGCCTGGGTCAAGTCAAGAGTCACCGTTACTAAATAGTAGAAAAATGGTTTCCGGATAATAACTTGAGTTTAGGGAATGAGATATTGTAATCAAACTGGTGTGAGGACGCAAGCCTTATACTGAAACTTGGTGATTCATTTGACCCCCTGAGGTACAGGTTAAGG